GCGAAGGCTGGCCCCTCCTCCGCCAGCCCCGGGGGCCGAGGCGTCGGGTCGCGGGCGCGGGGGCTGCCGGGCTCATCCGGGCGCGCCGACGTGTCGCTGGGCGTCCGTTTCCTCTTGCTGGGACTGGGCGCGGCCTCAGGTCCCGAGAGTGGCGGTGAGGGCGCACCGGCAGCGGCAGCGGCACCGTGCTTGCCGTGGATCCAGGACACCTTGGGCTTGGTGGCAGGGTCGGGTGGAGGCGGCTTCCTGCGCTCGGGAGATGGCGAAAGCGACAGGCCCCCAGCCTCGCCCCGGGCCCGGGCCGGCCGGGCCTCGCGCCGGGCCACGCGCGCATACAGCGCCCCGCCGGGCCCCTCCACGCTAGACGCCGACCGCTCGCTGTCAGAGGACGCGGGGAGGGGCGTCGCCTCCTCTGTGGACGCCGGCGTGGTCACCGGTGGGGGGGATGACGCCAGCGCCTCGGTAGGGGCGGTGGGGGGCTCTGCGTCCCGGCTCTCGGTTGCGGTCTCTGACAAGGGAAGAAGAGCTGACGGTCACGGCCTCCACAGGGAGCTCGGCCGTCCAGCCTTCAGGCAAAACCCTCACCTTCCTCCTCCTCTTCCCCGCCCCAGGTGATGCTCAGTTGCCCTGGCATCTAGACACGCCTGGAGAAATCACAACACCAACCACAAACTTAGTTCTGAGCCCCCAGGTTGTGCTGCCGAGTGCTGGGGAGTGAGGGGCAACATTCCTGGGGCTCAAGCCCCAACCTTGGCCTGGCCTTGCACCCCTCCCCCACCACATCCCCAACCTGGGGCGCCACATCATCAAATATGACCTTGGAACACCTCCAAGGGGATTCATTATTCCTCATTAAGAGATAAGGCTTCTAAGGCTCAGAGAGGTTAGTCACCTCCCCAAGGTCACCCAGGGAGATAGCCAGGGCACGAGAGAGGCCAAGGCCAGAAAACCAGCCAGTGAGGCTCCTTCCAGATGTCTGTGGGCCAAAACTTTAGGCAAAAGTGTGCCCCATACCCTGTAGGCCATCGGCTCCTATCTCCTCTGCCATTTCCTACCCAGGCCCAGAACCTTCTCTATGAATGGCCTCCCCAGTAAGTGAATCTGGGCTGTGGCTAGAGACCAGAGAGCCCACCCACCTCCCCAGATCCTACCCCAGTCCAGCGCTGAGCAGCACAGAACCCCACTCCGTAGCCTCAGCTCTGTGTCCAACCCCCAGTTAAGAGCATCACCACACCCTCCCTCCCCATGCTGTCTGTCCCGAGGAGCCCGGAGATCTTTTCAGCTGGAACATTTCATTTGCCTGGAGGGAGGCCCAAGCAGAGCCCTACTCACCCTCGTGGGGTACGCAGTACACAGGACCCTCATCAGTGGTGTCAAAGGAGGAGAAGGAGGCCCGGGAGGACCATGATGGCGAGGGCTGCTCCAACCCCGACGGTGGCTCCAGGAAGCTACAGTTGAGTGTGTTATCCAGGTCGTGATGGGCCACTGGGGAAGGAGGGAGGCACAGCTGCCAGGGGCCCCCACCCTCCCCTGGCCTGTGCCCTCACTAGCCCTCTTGCAACAAATGGTGGAGTAACCAAGACCAGCCCTACCCTAAGACTGTGGATAGAACAGGCAATTCAACAGGCAGAGTGACACTAGACCAGGACAGGAGAATGGGTAGAGGTGAGCTGGTAAAAAGAGAGAAGGAACAACGTGGTCAAAGATGCAAGGCTAGTGTGTGCAGCCAGGAAGCTGAACAAGGATGGGCTGAAGTGTTGGAAAAAGAGGGCCAGAGAGAACCCCTGGCTGGGACAGGCCATCAGGGCCTCCAAGCCATGTTCAGACCCTGCCTTGTGGGACCCAAGGACCCCGAGCCACCTCTGCTGAGTGGGCCAAGGGGTTTTCTCAGCTGTTTCCATCTTTTTTTTTAAAGATTTTATTTATTTGTTTGTTTGTTTGTTTATTTGACAGAGAGCGATTACAGGCAGGGAGAGCAGCAGGCAGAGGCAGAGGGAGAAGCAGGCTCCCCGCTGAGCAGAGAGCCCAATGATCCCAGGACCCCAGGATCATGACCTGAGTGGAAGACAGACGCTTAACTGACTGAACCACCCAGGAGTCCCAGCTGTTTCCATCTTTACCTCCCAGGAGAGGAGTCTCCCCCTCCCCTTCATCTTCAGAAACAAGTGGCAAAGAGGGAGAGTCCACTCCTGGTGTGGCTCAGTGCAGACAGACAGACAGAAACACCTCCCTCCCAACTGCAGTCCTGACTAGGGTGGGGGAGCCATGGAACCAGCCTGCCCACCTTCCAGAAAGGACCCAGAGCACTTCAGGCGGGTGTGGGGCGCTCCTTGTAGCAGGGTTTCCATGCACAGGTCCGACCTACCACCCCCACCCGTGCCCCACCCCCGCCAGCCCGCGTTCACCTGCAGCTACCCACCAGGACTTACAGTGCACTCCTACAGATCGTAGGGGTCCTGCCCACTGCGATGTCTACACACTGCAGATGCAATCACTCCCACTCACCGAAACAGGGCCCAAACCTCCCACACCGGCCTGCACACCTAGGACTCCTGCCTTCCTCCCCGGGCTCGCCGGTATCAGAAGCCCCTCTTTGCGTCCCTCCCCAGCCCACCCACATCAACACTCAAGGCCCCATATGTCCTGCATCGGGAGGTGTTCCCCCAGAGACCCCGTGCCGATATCCTTACCTACGACCTTGGGCAGCTTCTGCCTGCGGAGCGGGATCCGGGGCAGCTTCATGCTGATGCGGCTGAAGCGACCGCACAATCGCTGCGGCGCCTTCTTCCTCCCGAGCGTGAGCTCCCTGCGGGGGCGGGGCCTGAGTAAAGGGGCGGGGCCTGGATGGGACAGTTGGATCTCGGCGGGAGCCCTGACTCAGGAAGGGCGGGGCCTGAGCTAAAGATAGGCAGTGCCACACCCCGGGGCGGGGCCCGGGGCCCGGGGGCCGGGGTAGGGCGCGCGGCGCTACCGACAGGGTGCGGCCTGAGCCCTGGAGAGCCGGCCGGCGTCGGGCCTCACCGGCGCGTCGGGTCCTTGCCGCGGCAGGCGCAGCAGCAGCCGAGCAGCGAGAGCAGCAGGCCGAGGAGCAGCGCAAGCAACGCACCCGCGCCCATCACGCCCTTGCGCTGGTTGGTCTCTGTGGGAAGGCACCGGGGTCAGCGCGGGTGCCGGCACCCCTGGCATCCCCCTCAACAGGCTGCCCCCTCAACGACTCACCCAGGCGGCAGGCACCAGTGACCGGGTCGCACGAGTCCTCGTGGCAGCTGCAGGCCTGGGCGCAGTCCACCCCGTGGAGCCCAGGCGGGCACGTCAGGTTACAGCTGCGGGGGCACGGGGTCAGGGAGGGCCACAGCAGCCCTCCGTGATGCCCCTCGCCCTCACCCCTGCCGCCAGCTAGCCGCGGTCCCGGAGGCGGGTTCTCTATCTCCATGCTCTAGGGTTTGATGCCCACCACCACCGCCGGGCATACACTGGATGATGAGTGTTTCGGAAATGAATGTGTTGCACAAACAGCGGGATGGGATCTGGGGGACAGGGCCTGTGGTCGCTCGGCCTCAGTGTCCACTTCTGGGGCTGACTCTTGGGTGGGTGAGAAGAGGGGCTGCCAGACCACTCATGGCTGTAAGTGGAGTTCTCTGCTCTCTCTGCACTAGCTCGGGGTCACCTCAACCCTGTAGTCCTCAGAAGCCCACTGACCACAGGCGGAACTGGTTGCCAGATCCCGCTCTGAGCGCCGGCTCCACACCACGGCAGGAAACTGCCCCCCCTCCCCCCAAAGAGCCTGACAGCACTCCCTAGCTGCGGTAAGAGGACCTAGGCAGAAGGGCCGAGCCTGGGTCTCATCTATTCGGCCACTATTAGCAGCACCTGGGGTCTGGCTGGATCCCTGTGACATGTACGTATCCCCTAACCCCCTCTGGGTCTCCGGCACTCACTGGGGCCCGTGGACGCCGGGGCTGCACAGGCAACGCCCCGACTGGAAGTCGCAGTGGCCGCTGCCGCAGTCGGCGCACACAAATGCACAGTCCTCGCCGTAAGTGCCATTGCTGCACTTGGTCTCGCACCTCGGAACGCGGGGGAGAGGGAGTCAGCGGAAATGCGAGCAAACGAAACCGAAGCCCATAGTGCCCTCCGCGGAGAGCATTCGGAGACTGGCGGGGCTAGGGGGCTGCGTGCCTGGGACACATTCGGTCATGGGCTGCTTGCTCACCGGTCGCCGATCCAGCCCGCGTTGCAGCGCGTGCACTTGCCAGTGACGTGGTTGCAGGCATGCCCGTCGCGGCAGGGCGGGCAGCGGTGGCCGCAGCCCTCGCCATAGAAGCCGGTGGCGCACGGCTGGTCGCACTTGGTGCCGTTCCAGCCGGGCTCGCAAGTCAGGCAGCGGCCCTCGGCCACCGTGCAAGGCTGCTGGCCTTTGCACTGGCCGCATCTGGGGAAGGGCGGGAGGCTAGGCGGGGCCCAGAGCCGCCTCACCCGCCCCGCCCCACGCCGTCCCCTTCGGTGCTCCGCCCCCCCCCGCCCCTCCTCCCAGGTCAGGGGCCCCGCGCTTACCGGCGGCGGCAGCCCAGGCCGTAGAAGCCGGCAGGGCACGGCTCCCGGCAGTACTTGCCCCGGTAGCCCGGCTCGCAGGCGCACGTGCCGTCCACAGGGTGGCAGCGGCCGCGAAAGCACTGGCAGTAGCGCTCGCAGCGCGCGCCAAACGTGCGCTCGCGACACTGGCAGCGGCCGCTCTGTTGCTCGCACGGCGACGTGTTGCAGGCGCACTGATTGTTGCAGCTGCGGCCCCACCAGCCTGCCTGGCACAGGCACGCGCCCGTCTGTGGGTCGCAGCGCGACGTGGCGCTGCAGTAGCACGCGCTGGCGCACTGCGCGCCCCACCAGCCAGGCTCGCAGCGACACGCGCCGCTCCGCGGATGGCACACGCCATGCTGGCACTGGCACGCATGCTCGCAGCGTGCGCCCCAGCGCCGCGCGTGACACGTACACTGGCCCGTCACGTCTTCGCACTGGCCATGCGGGTGGCAGATACACAGCTCTTTGCAGTCGGGGCCCCAGAACTGGCGCGGGCACTCTGCAGGGGCGGGCAGAGAGGGTGTCAGGCCAGGGTGCTCGCGATGGACCCCGGATCCAGCCAGAACCTCCCCGCGTCCCGCCCTCCGCCTTTGGGGACCGTCCCCCATGCCGGATCCCGTCTCCCGATCAGACCCCTCCCCGGTCATGGGCCCTGCCCCACTGCCCAGCGCCCACCCGGATCCTCGCTCACTCGTGTCGCAGTTGGCACCGAAGTAGCCATGGCGGCAGCGGCACTCGCCCGGCCGCACGCACACTTCGTTCTCCGAGCACGTGGAGTTGCCTTCGCACACCGCTGCGGAGGAGAGGGGCCTGAGCTGCCGCCTGGCCGACCCCCGCACTATCCCCTCCTCTCCGTGTCCCTGCCCCCCTGCCCAGGTCCCCAGGCTGCCCCACTCACCGACCCCACACTCGTCGCCCTGCTGCCTCCAGCCGGCGCAACACGTGGGCTCCTGGGAGCTGCAGGCAGAGAAATGGCTCCTGAGCCTGAGCCCCAAGCCCCGTCCTTGCTAGGGCTCGCCAGCGACCTCCACCCTGCCCACAGGAGCTGCTTATGGAGGCCCTGCCGCATGCCAGGTACTGAGGGAAGTTCGGAAGACTGCCAGCAAATAAGACACAGACCCCAGCCCTGGAGCAGACACTGGGAGGCAGCAGAGGGCAGACCACCAAGGGATCTAACCCCCAAGAACTTGTCAGTCCCCTCCATGAGGGGTCTTCCCTCCCCGCCCTGCATCCCACCTAACTCCTCTGTGACACCACCCCTCCCCACCTAGGCCTGAGGAAAGAACCCCAGGGGTCCCAGAAGGAGCTGGTGAGAGGTCCTTGAGTCTCCGGGACCTGCTTCAAGTGGCATCGCTGGCGGCGGCGGGGGTCCGGCCAGATGGGTGTCAGGATCTTGATGTGACATGACCTGGACAGCAGGGACTGGTGGGGCCAGATGGGCTCACCTGGATACCCAGGTGGCAGATGTGCAGCCTCTGACAGAGGTGTCCACTCAGTGGAGGGGCAGGGCGTACCCGGGGGAGTCCTCCACGACAGCAAGTAACGCAACACGTGAGGGGTCCAGAGCACCAGGGCAAGACTTGGGATGGAGGGAGGAGATACTAGAGCATCTATTTATGTGTTTTAAAGATCTTGTTTTAATTTTATTTGGTTTTACAAGGTACACGGTGTGACCTCAGTAGGAGGTAAATACGTTATGACTGTTGCATTTCAGGGTAGTGCAGCCTACCCAACCCTGGGCCCAAAAGTCTGCAGGCCCTGCCAGAGTGATGCATACCACCGGAGAGAGCGCTTGGGGCTTGAGATGGGGTGTGCCCACATTTGGGGAGCAAAGGAGCCTGAGAAGGAAGAGACACTCAGGCTGCAGGTTCTTGGGTCCCATCAGGCCTAGAACTTCGCCCAGATCTTAAAGGCACATAGCAGCCATTCATACTTCAGAGAAAAAGGAGTATACTCCTTCAGAAGGGTCTCATCCAGAACCAGGATGTGGTGTTGGAAGGAAGTTGGAAAGAGGCCTGAGACCCTGGTGGGTAGAACTGGCTGGGAAGGGAAAAACTGCAGGTGCCCATATCATGCCCCTCAAAATGCCCCCCCAGCCATTCCCCAGCAGAGAGCATCACCACACCCTGGATGGGCCCCCACCCCACCCAAAGGGTTTGATTCTCCTTCAGGCCAAAGATGAGGAGATTTGGGAACAGGAACCATAAAAATCCCAAACTGCAAGGGGTGGACCCAGCTTCTTTTCTACAAATGAAACAGGAAATCAGGCCCGAGAACACAAAGCAGGCTTGGCCCCCACCATTGTTTCCAGCTACCCAGCCCGGCCACACGACTCACAGGTGCCCACCTGCAGGCAGAGCCAAATCCGCCAGCCTATCACCCTCCTGCCCTTTCTGCCAGTTCAGAACCCAGGTCTCTGGGTGGACAGCCTCTGCAGGTGGCCCTCCTATAGGCGGCCTTGCCGGATGGCCAGCTGGGATGGCCCTGGAAGCCCTGACCACTTTCTGCCCTGCCCTGGCTGTGGTTGGGAGTCTGGTTTTAGGGCCACACGAAGCTGGATTTGATGCCTGTGTGACTTTGGGCACAGAACTTCACCTGACTGTCAGACTCCTTATTTGTAGAATGGGGCCCAAGGGTCCGGAGGGAGTATTAAGAAAACCAAGATGTCAAGCGTTTGGCAAGAACTCAGAGCTCAGCCAAGGCCCTAGACTGCTCTCCAGCCCATGCTGTGCAGGTTCCAGGAAGCCCCTGAGTTCCCCTGGTCCTGCCTCCCGCCCCCAGCATGGCTGGCACCTCGGCCCACCCAGCAGAGCTACCCCTGGCAGGATGGAGTGCACGTGGGGTTCAGCAGGACCGTGAGGAGGAGACTGTGGGTCAGCTGCCTTTCCTTCTGGGAGGGCTGACAGACGAGGCCAGGCTCGGGGCTGGGGGGAGGGGGGGCAAGCCCACCCTCTCCAGAGCTTACAAAAGTGAGATGAGGAGAAAAATGGCCTGGTGCAGGGGATAGTTCCCATACCTGAACTCTAAGTTAGTGAGACCCTAGGGAGCCAGGCCACAGGCTGGGCCAGGCCCCTTAGCAAGCGGGCCTTGCCTCGGGCTGCCCCCTCTAGAGATCACTGTCATTGCAAACAAAACGGCCATGATTCAAACCGTGTGATCTTGAACCTGCCCATGCCAATGCAGCAAAGCAGCCTGGGAGAACTGCTCACTCACTGTGCCCAAGTCCACATTCTCTCTCCAATCCAGCCTGGAGGCTGCCTACCATACCACTTGGGATCCTATACTTCCCTGCTCTCCTCCTGCCCCCCCATACCCCTCCTCTGGTTTCTGCCCCCCTCCTTGGCTCTGTCATCTCCTCTCCTCTGTCCACTCCCTCAGGAAGCTCCCTGGGGCCCATCCAGCTGAGGTGCTGAAAATGCTCAGAGCCCTCCAGTGGGGCCCACCTCCCCAGACTGAATGCCGAGCCGCCCCCAAACAAAGCCTTCCCCATCTCAGGTAGTGCAGTCCTTCTAGGCTGGGAGCCCGAAACTCCAGAGGCATCGGCTCTGCGATGACTGAGACAGCACACACCCGATTCATGGAGAAACACGCCGCTCTACCTTCCAAACTGGATCTAGGAGGGGATGAGCCACTTCCTCCTCTGCCCCAGCCTTGTGAGAGCCACCCTCACTCCACCTGGTTTCTCCTGACTTCCTAGCTGGTTCCTCCTTTTAACCTCCTGAGCCAAGTTCATCTGCCACTTGGCAGCCAAACCTGGTCAGATCCCAACCCTCCTCTGTGCAATGCCCCTGGGTGTTCCCATGGCCCTCAAGGAAAAAGCCCAGGTCCTCAGAGCAGTGGGCAGACCCGCTGTGGCCTGCCCACTCTCATTCTTTGGCCTCTCCTCCACCATCCCCCTCCCAGGCTCTGCCCAGCCCCCATGGCTCCTTTCTGTGCTTCCAGAAGCCCCTGGCACTTAGAGCCTTGCCCCCAGACACCAGAGGGCTCCACCTTCTCTCCTGCAGATCTCTGCCCACTCATCATCCCTCAGTGGGTGTCTCCAGATCACCCTAAAGGACACAGCACTCCCCAACTGAACACCTCCTCCCCAGCACTTGCTAGATGTCAGATGACTTGTTGTAAGTCTCTTCCACTGCCGGGACAGTGGTATTTGTCTCAGCCGCTGTATCGCTGCACCAACCACAGGCCTGGCACACACAGTAGGTGCACGGGATTTTACTGGCTGTGTATGCTCCCCTCTTCCGGTTCTCCTACCTCTGGGGAAAAAGAACCCCCGGTGGAAGCCTTGGACCGGTAATGAAAGAGATGGCCCAGACCCTGGGTGGGCAGTGGCCAGAGGTGGCAGTCCTTCCCATAAACCAACCCCACATATAATCGCAATCATCCCTTCTCCACTCCATGAGGGGGGTACCACCAACAACCCCATTTGACAGAGGCAGAGACACGCCCAGAGAGGTTAAGCGATTTGTCCTGGTCCGCACAGGTGGGGAGAAGTGGCACCAGGACTGGAAACCCAAACCCGGTGTCTGGGCTACTGAAACAGGCCGCCTCGTGGGGAGGTGCCCGGGCAACGGGACGCGGGAGCGAAAAGGTTCAGGCTCCCGACAGCTCGAGCCTGCCACCGGAGCCCCCAGCACGGAGCCCCATCGGGGAAGGAGGGCTGAGGCGGAGAGACAGGGCCGGCAGCGATCGCGCCCTCCCCCTCTCCAGGCACGGCCCCGCCCGCCACTGCCACTGCATTCCTGGGGCCAGGGAGGCCCGGGAGGCGGCGGCGGCGTCGATGTGAAGCAGATGGCGGGCCAGGCCGGCCCCCGCCCCGGAGGCGGGGCTCGCAGTGGGGAGGGGTCTGCGCGCCTCGGGATCCGAGCTCGGAAACCCCGCGCGGCCCCCTCGCAGCCCCTTGTCTGCGGCGACCGCCAAGCCCCCGGACGCGGCCTCCCAGGGCCCTACGGCTCAGGGAGCCCCGACGGGACGCAGCCTGGGGCCCCGTGGCCGCCTCTCCAGCTTCCCGCCCGCCCGGTGCACCCCCCCCCAACCGCCCCGGCTTGAGCCAAGGCACCCCCACACGCCGGCTCCTTGGCCCCGGGTGGAGATGCCCTTGACCTCGCTATGGCCCCTGACCGGCCGACCAAGTCCTCCGAACCCTGCGCCCACTCCTAGCGTCCTGTCCTACGCTCCTTTTCCTCCGCGAAAGGTCTTCGGCCCGCCGCTCTCCGGCCAGGCCTGCCCACTGCCTGTCCCACGCTGGCTTCCCCAGCCGGCACCTCGTGGAGTCCCACGTCTGCGCGGCCCCTCCGAGCACCTAGTATCCCCACCCGGGAGTTCCATATCCGTCGGACCCCGGTGCACGTCATTGTCCTTTCGAATCCTGCTTCTGGTCCACTTGGAGCGCAGGCTCCTCAGTGCCCACCTCCATCACCACCCTCTTCCCACCCGCGCCAACTTCTAAGACACAAATCCCTCCTTCTGAGTCGCGCCAGCCTCAAGGTTCGCCGGCTCCCACCTCTCAGGAGCGCCGCTCCATCTCCACTCGACCCTCACCCTCCCTCCCGGCTCGAGCCACACTGGTGCCCGGGGCCTTTGCAAATGCCCTTCCATCGGCTTGGAATGCCCTTCCCCGACTTCACCCTACGCCTTCGCAACCCAGCCCAAGCGTTCCTTTTTCTCGGTCTGAAATCTCAGACACGGTATGTCACCCCTCGGGACGCCCACTGCACTCCGTTCTCCCCTCGACTGACTTCGCGTCTGGGGTAACCTCGGATGCACCGTCGTGGCCCGGCGCCCAGGCTCGGCCTGGAGAGGAGTCGGCGTCGGCGAGGGCGGCGGAAAGGACTAGAGCGGTTAGCTTAGGAAGGTCCCGGACGCCCCCTCCCCTCGGCCCCGAGCGTCCCCCGCGGCCCCCTCCCCCAGCCAGGCCGGGCTCCT